TGCCAGGCTGCTCCCGCCGCGCCCCCGGGCGGCAGCGAGTGGCCGGGGCCGAGGCGCGTGGCGGGCAGTGTCCGCGCGCGGCGGCGCCGCGGGCGGGTGCAGACAGGGCGCCGGGCCTGCCGCCGGCCCCGCTGGCCCCGCTCGGCCGGTGGTCGGCCCCAGGGGATAGAGAACCCCGAGGGGCAGCGGCGGCTCAGAACTGCAGAGGGAGGAACGCGGCCTCCGCACCGCCGGCCCTGCTCGTGGACGCCCGTTGTCACTTTGCTGGACAAGAGTACCACCTGGTGCCGCGTCCCCGGCTCGTGGCCGCGAGGGGAGCGGTCGAGGCGCGATCCGGCCCCCGCACTCACTCTCGCCGTTTCCGCCGCTGCCTCGCCCAGGACGCCTCTGAAGCCCTGGGTCCCGTGGAGCAGGCCGCTTCCGCCGACGCCCCTCCCAGCCTGCGGTGGACGGCCAGAGCGAGCAGAGCCGGAGGGATGCCCTGGGCATCGGGCCTGTCGGAAGGCCAGGACCCCGCCTTGGGGTGCCGGCAAGCGTTGAGGCATGCTGCAGGGGGCTTGGGCCAGCCTCAGCATTTGGGCTCACCCAGCTGCTGACCCGGGCAGGATGGGGGTCATCAGGTGCCTTCTTGCTGTCCCAGCTGTAGGTCCCAGAGCAGTGTGTGCAAAGCACCTTTGTGTCTGCTGTGACCACGCAGTCTCTTCAGTACCCTGTACTTTTCTGGGTGGTGGTCATTACCAGTGGGCTGGCTCTATCTTCTGATCTGCTCAGAGCTGTCTTGTGTCCTGCTTAGTAATCAACAGCATCCCCTTTCATTCTTAAAAGTGTCCACTTGGGCAAAATGGTGAGTGATGACCTGCCGTGGTTCTGTTGGTTAAGGAGCTGTGGAGACCTTGTTTGAGGCAGGGGCTTCATGTGTTACTCCAGATGAGGATGCTGAGGCCAGGAGGGACTTTCCTGGAGGTGGCAGAGGAGGGATGGACAACCTCTGGCCAGGGTATTTCTGGCCCTGTGGGCTGCACAATCAAGACTACAAGCAGTTGAGTCCTGCACAGCACGTAGACTGGAAGGTCACTTGCTCTGAGGGGTGGCAAGTGGCAGGCAGTTCTGTGGCAAAGACTGCATTTGGATTGGGGTGGGGGTGTAGCAGGAGGTGACACCTGAGAGAACATGAAACACCTGGGCCTTGGGCTTGATGGCAGAAGAGGCCATTGGCATCTCTCTGGTGAGTGACACGGAAGGTGTCCAGAATGTCCCCAGCTCTGGGAGGCCGATGCAGCAGGGCTGGACTGAGTGTCCGCAAGGTGGGGATAATGAATGGAGGAAGTCTGTTGGTGGAGGGACTCTGGAGTTCTCAGGTCTGAGACACTGCTTGATGAGCCTCCTCTTGTTTCATGGTCTGTAGAGAAAAAAAAAAAAAAAAGAACTGCCAAACTTTGACATCTTAGCGATTGTTAGATGCCACCCAATTTCAGAGTCATGAGGGAAAGGTATCTTAGAATTGCCATGCATGATTCATGCCTGAATCCCAGCTACTCAGGAGGCTGAGGCAGGATTGCAAGTTCAAGGCCAGCCTCAGCAACTCTGCAACTCTTTCAACCTGTGTTGAAGTTAAAATTCAGCAGGCTGGGGGTGTCGCTAGTGGTGGGACGCTTCACTCGCATGTGGGAGGCCTAGGTTCAACCTTTGGCAGCACATAAAGAACAATTGCATGTAGGCTGAGGTGTTGGGCCTCAGTGTTGAGGAAATGATTATGGAAGAGAGAAGGCAAAGTCAGGGAGGGATGCAGAGCTTGCCCCTCCTCCTCCCCTGGTGGTGGCCCCAGTGGCGTGGAGGCCTGGGAGAGCTGTGCTGAATGGGCTCTGGAGACAGCCTTCTCCCTGGCTGCTCATTGACAGCCTCTCCTTCCACCCGTCCCTGTCCCTTGGTCTGCCTGGACAAGACCACCACTCACTGCTTAGGCTGCAGAGCAAAGGACTGCAACCTGATAGCTCTCTGAAGCCTGGAGGGATTTTTGTGTGTGTGCTTTCTGGCACTTCTGCTGCCTGAGCCATTTCCCCCCCGCCCATTCCCCTGCTGTGGTCCCAGGCTCAGCCCCCTGCCTGTCTGCGTCTTCAGGACCCTGCTCATCTGGTGTTATGCTTCCCTCGGGCCTGGCCAGTAAACATGCTCAGGTGTCCTTACTTGGCCAAACACAAACATCATTGCCAGCCAGGCTGGTGCCAGCAGGGGGACCCAGGTTGAGGGCATGGCATTTGTGAAAGCCAGGCAGCCACTGGAGGCTGAGGCTTCACTGGGAAGGGAGGCACTAGAGGAGGGTAGGCTCGGAGGTAGGAGTCCCTGGACACAGCAGTCGGCGTGGGACAGCAGGCCTTCTGGGCCCTGGGAGCTGAGGCGGGGTGCTGAGTGCCTCCCTTCTCTGAGGCTGTCCACCTGGTCCTACTGCCTCATCAGGCCCACAGGGCTTTCTCTGTGCTCTGGCGTTACCAGGCTGGTAGCCTTGGAGGACCATGGGCAGAGAGCCCCTGGAGTGCAAGAAAGCATGAGCACGTTGGGGGTGCACAGGGTCCTGGGCCCCCTCAGCTAACTGTACCCTTTTTGTTCTTGTTTTGGTGGTGGGCTATGTTCACTTGTGCCGCGTTCAGTCGATGAATCATTATATGACCGCTTGGCAGCTAGGGCGGGAGAGCCCAGAATGTCAATCTCCTGCCCTTCATGAAGGGCTGCAGCTGTGTGCTCTGGGCTGCGTGGAGCCCCTCACCCTGGGGATGGGCGGGTAGGGTTCTATACTACAGGCCCCCTTCTGGGGCTGCCTTGTCCCTAGCACATGGGTTGCATCCTGTGTGGACCATATGTCCACAGCTGGCCACCCCCAAAATAGAATCAAGCTGTGAAAATCCCCTGAGCTGAGACTAAACTGGCAGTACCCCCCTCAGTCTTGGTCCCTGGTCAGGCCTGGCAGCTCCCCACTGCCCCCTTCTTGATAGGTCTGTTCCTGCTCACAGCCCAGCCTGAGGGGACCAGGCAGCCTTGGGGTCTCTGGTGTGTGCCGGCTCCTCATCCCCATTGTGCAGCCAGTAGGGGGCACTCAACCTGGCGCTAAGAGAGGCCCCTGCCTACTGATGGGGCCGAGCACCAGGCCATCTCACTCTCTGCGTCCTGCATGTGTCTGACCTAACCTGGTGCCCCTAACCTCCTCCAGCTGACCCTGCCCCAGCCTTAGGCTGCCCAGGATTGCTTGGAGCCCACTGGCCACCCAGGGCTGGGCCCTACTCTGTTGTGTCCCCTGGATGGTGACAGGTCCACATAGTTTGACCACAGCTTAGAAGGAGGCAGTGGACATGCCTGCACCCTGCCCCTCTGCTGGAGGGGTCATGCTCTGTCCCACTCCTGTGTTCTGGGGCTTCTGTTTCAGAGGCTGAGGGGATCCTGCAGCAGAGCACCAGGACCAGAGGACCAGCTATGACCAGGTGTGTTCTGGGCAGCATGATGGCCCTCACCCGGGGTGAGAGTGGGCCTGCTCTGCCCTGCACCCAGCCTCATGCTCTGTCCTCTCCTAGTTCCCCCGTCTCCAGAGTCGTCTACAACGGCAAAAGAAATAGCAGCCCGCGCTCGCCCACCAACAGCAGTGAGATCTTCACCCCCGCCCACGAGGAGAATGTGCGCTTTATTTATGAAGGTGGGTATGCCTGCGCAGGGGCTCCTCCTCCTGGGAATGGTCAGCCTCCCTGCTCTGCCCCAGTGCCCAGGAGCTCCCTTGGGCCCTTTCCTGCCTCCACGTCACCACTCTGGGTGTTGGTGCCCCATCAGTCCTTCCAAATCTGGGGGGAGGGAATGGCAGATTGAGTGACAGGGGACACTTAAAAGCCCCAGAGGAGGGTGAGGGAGTAGGCATTACCCCAGAGGAGATGGCTTCTGCAGCCTGTCCTTGGCAGCCTGTCCTTGGCAGCCTGTCCTCGGCACTGGGGGTGCTAGGGAGAGGAGGGAGGTGTGGAAGATGGGTGCCCCCAGCAGTTGCTGACCCAGAGTCGGGGTGGGTGGAGGATGTGGAAGGAGGGCTGAGCCAAGGCCAAGCACTCCTGGGAAGCCAAGCTGGGTCAGATGGGTCATCTCTGAGAGTCCAGGCCCATGGTGGGGAGTGCTGGGTGCTGGAAGGTACCTTCAGCTGGCAGAGGGAGAGGGGTGTCTCCTGGCTGGCCTCTGCCTGACACTGACCCCACTGCCCTCGCCTGTGGCAGCCTGGCAGGGTGTGGAGCGAGACCTGCGCAGCCAGCTATCAGGTGGCGAGCGGGGCCTGGTGGAGGAGTACGTGGAGAAGGTTCCCAACCCCAGCCTGAAGAGTGAGTGGGGCCATGGGGGGCACAGGACAGCCACCTGCTTCCTGCCCACACTACCAACGTGCTCCAGGGGCTTCCAGAGGTGGGGGTGGCCAGGGGCCTGTGCCAGCACTGACCACACCTTTCCCCGCAGCCTTCAAGCCGATTGACCTGAGTGACCTGAAACGCCGGAACACGCAGGATGCCAAGAAGTCCTAGAGTGCCAGCGCCCTCCCCTGGCCGCTGGAAGATGAGGGTGCACTTGATGTTGGCTTCCTCCTGTCCTGCAGGCCTTCCCAGGAGGAGGGAGGGGCTGTGCTCCAGTGGGCTGCAAGCCCTAGGGTCAGCAGAGTTGATGGCTGAGGCCACTTCTCTCTGCGCCCCTCCTGTCCTCTCTGGGGATCTCAAGCTGCCCCTGTCACTTGGAGGGGGGTCTGGCCCTGCCTGCCCCCGCCAGAGGCCCTGACCCCAGTCCCTTCTCACCTGCTGCTGCCCCTCCCTTCTGTTCCTGTGCACTGCGGGATCAGGAAGGAGAAAAGGGGGCCTGTTTCCCAGGTTGGTGGGACTGGCTGGTTTTGTCCTTGAGATGACCAGGAAGTGGGACAAGCACAGCTGCACCTGCACCCAACTTGGGTCCCCCACAGACCTCTGCTGGTCCTCTGGCCTGGACACTTGGGGAGCCTCCCCCACTCTGCCCCCACTGTCCAGCCTCCCCTTCCCTGCCTCAGCTTCAGGATGGCACCAGGTTTCGGCCTGAGACAGTACTGACCTCCCTAAAGGGGTCCCCAGCAACCAGACCCGGCCTGGTGCCTAAGCCCAGTGGCCACAGAGGCACCCTTGGGCCAGGGGTGCCAAGGCTGACCTGAAATGGTGCTGTTGGGCCTGTCCTGGCTCTCTGGAGTGTGTGGGAGGGTCACCAGGGCCCCTTTTTTTCATGTACCCTCTGGAAGCCAAGTGTCTGTGTGGCCCTGGAGCCGGGGGGTCTGTGAATAAACATGGGTGGCACTGGGAGTGGCCTCTTGGCCATCTGTCAGCCCTCTGCCCTGCAGCCCACACACCTGGACAGGGGACTCCAGCCACGGTAGAGGCTCTGCCTAGCACTTCTCAGCGTGAGTCAGGGAACAGGGCAGGGGTCTGAGGGTGTCCAGGAGGGGAGAGATGAGCTGCTCTGAACAGTCAGCTCTTGTCCAGACTAGAGGCTCTCCTGAGGCCATTCTCTCTGGGGGTAGGACCCTGGGGCAAGTGGGCAACCATCTGCTGCCCTGCCACCTTCTATGGCCTGGCCTACTGACAGGGAGTTGGCTTCCCCAGTGTCCACGTGGAAGCATGCTGCTGGGCCCCCAAGAGCCCCAGTTGCACTTGACCTTCAGACATGGAAACAGCCCTGGAACGCTTCTGCCCCTGAGACAGAGCCAAACGGAAATGTATTTCAGGAACACCCTTTCCCAGAAGGGTATTCCAAGGCTTGAGTGACCCCATGGGCTTCTGGGGGTGGGCTGGGCAAGTCTCCATGGGAGAGGACAGTGCCTATGAGGATCAACTCCACCTTGGTGCCAGTGGCACTCACTGGAGCCAGGTGCCAAGCCACCCCTGGAACATGTGGCCTTGTTAGGCCCTGGGGTTCTGCAAGGCCTTCCATAGAGGCTTTGAGTGTCCCAAGGTGGGGTCACCCAAGCTTGCTACTGGAGAGGATGGCACATGGCGTGCTCGGGTTGCGTAGGAGCACATCTCCACACCCTGTACCAACCAGTGTCTCCGAGCACCCTAGACCACCCAGGTCAAGGCAGTGGACAGGGCAAGCAAGGCCCCAACAGGTGTGCTTTCCACCCCTTGTGTTTGCCAGGGCCAGCAAAGGTGCGAGACCCACCTGCACATGAGGCCTGCTGGGGGCTTCCCACCCTTCCCAGAGGCAGAGGAGTCCTTGAGCCAGTTGCCAAGTCTCTGGCCTCAGGTTCTTTGGTTAGTGCCTACCTCAGTGCCTTGCAACGAGTTCCACCCACTCTTCTTCAGGTGAGAATCTAGTGCCTGTGGCCATGATTTGCCTCAGGTTCCCCAGGTGCAAAGTGAGTTTGAGCTGTGGTGATCTGAAGGCCCCTCCTTGAATGGTCACTGGGCAGTTAGTGCCCGACATGAGCTGGAGACAGCCTGAGGGAGAGAGTGCTGACTTGGGCTTCCAGCCTTCTGGGGCCTGCCCTGGGATCTGGCCACACCCAGGGTTCCTTGGGGCATGCATGACCCAGCCATCTGAGCCTGCACGTCTGTGTCCCCTCGCACACCTTAAGGTCTTCCCTGGCACTCTGCCAGCTAGAGGTCCTGGGCATGGTCTACAAGAACACCTGGGCGTTGGAAGGAGGGCTTGCCACACACCCTCCTGCAGCAGAGCCCAGTGCACGGTGACAGTCCCGGGTTGAAACTGTTGTGGCCTAGGCCAGGGGTGAGCAGGGAAGGGGAGAAAGAGCCTGCCTGGAAGGCCTGCCAAGATGTGGCCACTGGGGTCCACCCAGCCCCGCAGCAGGCCCACCAGCCTTCCACCTAGAGCTGCCAGGGACCACTGCAGAGCCAAGTCCACCTCATGCGGCCAGTGTTCCTGTAGCCACAGTGGCCCGAGAGCGCAGGCGTGGTCCAGGGAGCTAGAGCAGCGCTGGGGCAGGTTCACCCCTGCTCTCCACCTCACACCTCCGTTCCTTAGGGCCCGTGGGCCTCCCGCCAGACCAGCCCCCTGCCTCATCTCCCTCCTCCGAGGTGCCTGTGACTACTCTCGCCCAGCCTAGTGGCTCAGGGGGACGGCTGGGGGAGATGAGGTGAGCATCCTTGTGAGTTAGGGTCCGTCCCGTGTCACCTGTGCAGGTTGCGCAGGAACCCACACAGCGCTCTTCGCTGGCCACTGCGTGGGGAGTTTTACTACCCTCATTTACACATCAGGAAACAGTGACCTTCAAGGGAATTTTAGTTATGGGGCTTTTTTGTTGTTTGTTTTTGTTTATTTTAAAGTACTGGGGCTCCACCACTGAGCCACCCCCACCCCTGAAGTGTTTATCCCTTTAAGCACTTATTTTGTTAATTTTTTATTTTGGGGGGGGACCAGGGATTGAACTCAGGGGTGCTCTGTGACTGAGTTACATTTCCAGCCCTTTTAAATTTATTTTTTCAATTTCGAGACAGGGCCTCACTGAGTTGCCCAGGCTGGCCTCAAAACCTGTGATCCTCCTGCTTCAGGCTCCAGAGTTGCTGGGATCCCAGGCATGCACCACTGCACCTGGCTGGGCTTCCTGCTCCCTGCCCCCTTAGTTTACACGAACACAATACCTTTATATTTTTTAAAGATAGAAAAGAGAATTTTTTAATATTTATTTTTCAGTTTTCGGTGGACACAACACCTTTTTTTATTTTTAGGTGTTGCTGAAGATTGAACTCAGTGCCCCACAGGTGCTAGGCAAGTGCTCAACCCCTGAGCCACAGCCCCTGCCTCTTTCTCTTCTAAGCTTACTTATTTATTTTTGTGGTTCTGGCTGCGGCACCAATGCCTGGCCCAAACAAAGCTCTATTGCCGAGCTACAGTCCCCCCTCCCTAGGAACATGTGGCCACACATGTGAGCTTTTGCTGTCCTCCACTTTCCCTGTGTAGCTCTTCCCCGTAACTTCAGTTACATCAGTGCTTCGGTTAGGCCTGTTTGTACTCAGCACTGAGCTGTAGGGCAGATGAGACTTGTTTTCTATTTTCTGCCCAACTCTGTTTTCCTGGAGTTCCTAATAAGTTCTGAACTCTGCCCTGTCATTTAATTCTCCCCTGAGTGTGCTCAGTCACTTCCATGTCCTCGAGAGGTCCCCCCAGGCCTCCTGCCAGGCTGGAGGTGCCCTCCCCAGGTTCCATCCTGACTGCTGAGGTGCACCCTTCCTCAGCAGTGCCCATTCCAGGGGGTCACAGGACACACGACTCGCTCACACACATCCCTCTGGGAGCGGGCTTCTGCTGCCTGGCCCCACACAGGGGAGCCTGGGAGCTCCCTCTGCGGCACACTCCTTCAGACTCCCTGCAGGAAGGGAGTGGGCAGCAGGGCAGGAGAGGCAGGGGGCACTGAGAGATGAGAGGGGCGGGGCCTCTTCTCTGGGGGCACCTGGCTGTGTTGGAGAGAGGGTCCCTCCACTGCCCATCTACAGGACTGCCCATCAGGACCAGTGTTTACTGGTTGATGAGTCCAGCCCTGGCCAGGCCCCACCTCCACCCTTGACTCCAGCAGCCTGCTCCATCCAGTTCCCTTGGGGATGGGGATGGGGCAGGGTTGAAGGAGGACAAGGGGAGGGACTTGGGGTAGGGAGGGCTGTCAGGAGGCCCCAGGAGAGCAACTTACCCCCAAGGCAGTCCCCAACCCTGAGCTCAGCTGCCGTGAAGGAGAATTTGCCCCTCCTGTGCTAACTCGGTGTGGCTTTGTGCCCATATAGGCAACTAGGGCTCCACAGAGAGTCAGGACGCAGGCCCGGGCACCTGGCATGAGAACTGGCCAAAGCCTCAGGTCAGGTGCCTCAAGCCTCCAGCACATACAGCGACTTCTAAACCAGCCTCTGTCTGTGCCCTCTGACTTCCCTCCGGCCTCAGGCCTGCAGGCAGGGTGCGGGGAGAGGGCCTCCCTGGGAGGGCCCCGCCTGGCGGGTCATTCTATTTACCTTTCCTGAGAGGCCTCATGTCCTTTCATCTGCTCCAATTAGCCCAGCTCTGCCTGAGTGGCTCCAGCCGGTGCTCCAGCGGCTGTGGCACTCCTCCCCCAGGGCCCAGTGGCCACCTTCCACCAGCTCCTTGGAACAGGGACACCTGTCTGGCTCCTTCTCCACCCCATGCATGCATACCACCAGGCATCATGGTACCCACTGTAGGCCACCCCTGAGGCTGACCAGTCCCCTCACGGGCTACCACTCTGGACTTGCTTCTGCCCAGCAACGTGGTCCTGGATGGCACATCTAAACTCATGGGTGCAAACTTACCATTCTGCACCGTGCCTCAGCTTGGACTCAGGGTGCACCCCTGATCTGGACCTCCCACCCCAAAGCACTTCCAGGCCTTTCCTGCATCCAGTCCTGGGGCAGCTCTTTTCTAGCTGGTGTCACCCCACCTCCACCTGGCAGGGAGTGTGCCCACCCACCCCAGGATGGGCCTGGACCGTTGTGGGCAGAGCATCTGCTAGGTGACAGGGGCTGTGCAGAGGTTGGGCAGACCCTACTGCTACCTCCACCTGGACCCACAGTGATTGGGAAGCTATTTCTCTCCACTGCAGACACTGTGTGGCCCAGGACGCACCAAGTAGCTAAAGCTCAGGAGCAGAGGTTGGGCTCCAGGAAGAGCAGGACTGAGCCAAGTGTCCATGGTCCTTCTGTCTCCAGGTAGAGGCTTTTGGAAGACACCCTCTGAGTAAATTGGGTGTTCATGTGAGGCTGTGTGCCTGTGGCCTCCCTCAGCCCCCACTGCCCCATCATATCCCTTTGCTGGTGAATGGTGACCTGTTGGGGGAGTGAGGCCAAAGCCTCCAGAGGGGCCCCTGACCTGATCCAGCATGGGAGGACAGGCACTGCTAGCCACCCTGGGGACCCTTCCAGCTCCCTGTAGAACAGGGATCAGAGGGGCCCCTCCAGGGAGTGCACCAGCCTGCGCCCATCCACCCTGCGCCCATCCACCCTGCCCACACGCACTCGGGCCTTCCCAGCTGAGCCCTGGCGATCCACCCAGCCACTACTCAGCTCTTTATTGGAGGACACACCTTTCCACACGCACAGGACAGACCAACAGGCAGGCATGCCTGCAGTTCATGCACAACTTCCCACCACTGGGCTTGTGCCCCAGGGACAGCAGGGGGGACATGGACAGTGGCAGCCACTGTCCAGCTGTCCTGCCCCTCTGGCCTCAGCCAGGTGTCCAGTCCTGGGGTGTTCGGTGATGCCCTGTCTGGTGCCTGAGTCCAGCAGAGATTCAGAAGGGGCTCCCATCCAACTCAGGGAGGCCACAGGCCAAGGAGGTCTCTGCAGAGGGGTCCTGGCCAGCCCCATTGCTGCTGCCACCCTTCACAAGTCGAAGCTTCTCGCAGGAGGGGCCACGGCAAGGCCTAGCTGGGGCCGAGGGGCTGCTGCTGCGTCGCGGGTCCTGCAGCGCTCTGCCCTCGTGCCAGCGCCGCCAGCGCTGCAGCAGCTCTGCCTGTACCTGGGGGAGGGGTCCCACCTGGTGTCCCTGAGCCTCGGCCCCCACACCCTCCCCCCCTCACCACAGGGAAAGCCAGGGCCTGCAGAGGCTGAAGACCCCCACGCTTGTGCTCCCTGAGGACTCTGGGGTCCTGACACCCACTGCCCTGGCAACCATCTCAGTTAAACACAGGAGGAAGGGAAGGGCATATGGGGGGCACTGGCACCCGTGCCACTCCCTGGCCGAGCCCCCACCTACCTCTTTGCTGAGGAAGCAGTAGAGGACAGCCACCAGCAGGCCCTGGAAGGAAGGGGCGGTCAGGAACCTGTCCCGGGTCTCTGAGCAGGGGGAGGGTGGGGCGTGGGGCTCACCTGGAAGGAGCTGAGGAAGAGGTCAAAGAAGAGCTTGGCGGAGCGCAGGGCCCCCTGAGCCTGCTCATCGGTCACAAAGGCGAAGACCACTTCGTGGACCCCCAGCAGGGGGATGAGGGTCAGGGTGGATCTGGCCAGCCTGCAGGAGTGGACCTTGAGTGCCCGGCCTGCTGTCCAGAGCCAGGTCAGCCCACAGGGCCTTGGTGCCCCCTCTCTGGCATCTGCAGCTCTGTGCGCCCCGGCCACTGCCCACACCCACCGGAACTTGTAGTCAGCGTAGTGCATCTGGCGGGCCTGAAGCTTGGTGATGAGAAGGTGGACCACGCGGACAAAGATGAAGGAGTTGATCTGGGAGGAGGGCCCAGGTCAGGGCCACCCAGGGTCTGTGGTCCCCACTGGGCCCCAGCAGGTGGGCCCACAGCCATGTGGCCCTGGGCTGGCTGGAGCCCAGCCAAAGAAGGCAGCCTGCTGGCAGCCCAGGCCAGCGTCCTGGAGAGTGCCGGGGCCCCCACTTCCTCGCAGGCCGGATGCTACCTCTCCTAGGGCTCCAGAAGGCCAAGGAAGGGGGAACTGGGGAGCCCCAGCCAGCAGCCCCTCCTGCTGGGACAGAGGTGTCCCGTTTCCTCACCAGGATGGCCAGGAAGACCGGGGCTCGCAAGATCCACCAGACGCCCATGTTGGTATTGCTGGTCCAGCACCTGCGGGGTGGCCACTCACGACCTGGGGTGCACACAGCCCCCACCCCAAGTCTCTCAGCCCCCCCATCTGATTTTGCTGGGATCCACCTCAGGACAAGGAAGGGGAAAGGCCACAGTGACCCCTTGCCCAGGCACTAGGTTTGCACAGAAGCCCCTCCCACACCTCCCTCAGCCGCCCCGCCCGCCCCGGCTGCATGGCCCGTCCTTCACCGGCCCCTACTCACTGAATGTTCTCAAACAGACACTTGGCCACCGCCCAGGGGATGATGAACAGCAGGGGCGCACCTGTAGGGGGCAGCGGTTGTGGGCCTGCAGTGCTGCCTGGCCCGCCCAATCCCAGCACCAGTGGACAGAGCCACTCCCTCACTCACCCCAGCCAATGCCCAGGTAGAGGGTGAAGAAGCTTCGCTCAGGGAAGGAGGCCAGGCCCAGCAGGCCATGCAGGTACACGCCCTCCACCAGCAGCCAGCAGTAGTTGGCCACCACGCCATACTGCATGATCACTGCGGCCACACGGCAGCCGGCCACCGCCTGGGCAGGGCCAGTGTGGGCAGCTGTCAGCACCCTGCCTGCCCAAGGCGGCAGCAGTCTAGGCTGGTCTGCTCTGGCACTCACCCCATCGCTGAGCCAGATGCTGACACTGAGGTCATCCCCGATCTTCTGGCTGTAACGGGTCTTCAGCAGCCAGTCGATGACCAGCACAGAGCTGGCCTTCAGCACAAAGGATGCAAACAGGTTCACGTGGATGTAGTTGCGGGTGCAGTGGAGTTTGCTGCAGGGACAGTGGATCAGTGCCTGGCACCTGCCCTGGGGCTGCCCTGCGCAGGACGGAGGAGGCGGCGTACCTGAGGCCCAGCATGATGGCCAGGGCGAGCAGCAGGGCCCCCAGGGACAGGGAGTAGCCCACGGTGTACATCACCTGGAAGCTGCTGTACATCTTGGCGACCTCCTTCTGTGAACCACAGTGGCTGCTCAGGGCTGGGGGCCACTCCCTGCCTCTGACAGGTCCCACGGTGCCCACCCACCCTGCTGACCTGGCCCTCGAGCTCCTCGTCCTCCATCTGGCACTGGGAAGCGTTGCGCCATGGCTGTCCCCGAGGCCCACGCACCCACTGCCCATCCGGCCCACACTTCTTGAAGACCAGGCGGTGCTGCACTGGGGGGACAGGCTCTGGTCACTCCAGCTCCAGGCCCAGCCCCCCAGCGCCCCCAGACCTTTCAGGTTACCTTTGTGATACCAAGGCAGGTACCAGGGACAGGAGATGTTGGCCGTGGTATTGGGAGGGGTGTCTGGCCAGCAGGAGTACTTGTCGAAGGTCCTGTTGCAGACCAGGTCTGCAGAGGCGGGTTGGCAGGGGCGGGAGGCTCCTGGAGGGCCTGGCCAGGACCCTGCCGCCGCCTCCTGGAAGCTCCTGAGCTTCCCTCTCTCCTCTCCAGGCCTGCAGCCCAGAGCTTCGGCCTCCCTCACCTGACCACCCCTGACTCCTCCCCAGCTCTCTGCCTCCCCACCCACCTGGTCTCCAGTCCAGCCTGGCCCTCAGGGCACCTTCCCTTAGAGACCTCTGTCCCAAATCCACACTGGGTCTCCTTCCCCCCACCTTCCTCCAGCACCTTCCCCTGGGGGCTGAACCCCAATTCCATCCAGAGCCCACCCTACGGCTGCCACAGGCTGCTGTCCCTCATCTGACAGTGCAGGACCCCAGGGTGTGCTCTCTGGCCCCGTTTCTCCCTGTACCAGACTGACCACCAGCCTGTGTCTGCATCTGACCATCTCCCTCCCACTTGCCTGGTCTGGGGGCTTTGCCAGCCATCTCCCCTGAGCACGGGCGGCCCTCTGTGGGCTCGGGGCACTGTGGCAGCAGCTAGGACAGTGAAGCACACCAGTCCTGGGGCCACTCTGCCCTCTCTGTTGTTTCCCACTTTGTGGGCCACCTGGGCACCCAGGACGCCTTCCCGGGAGCCAGCTCCAGGCTGCACAGCCCGGCAGGAGCTGGGGCTCACCATTTGGGGGAGGCAGCAGGCTCATGTTGCGGTGGCACTGGTCACTGTAGAGCTTCCACTTCTCGAACAAGAAGTCCATTACCTGGGCAGAGAGGGCCTGCGGCTGGTGGACCAGGGGACAGCAGCCAGAAAGGACAGAGTCAGAGAACCAGCGGCAGTCAGCACCGGGCAGACTGGGGCCCGCCGCACCGGGCAGAGGCTGTGCAGCCTCACCTGGCAGGCCAGCAGCAGCAGCAGCAGCAGGTTGGGACGCCAGGGCTGGACGGGGGACATGCCTCTGGGTAGCTGTCCCCCACATCTGGCAGGGGCCGCACAACCGGCTCCTTGGGGGTGTTCACAGGTCCCCTTGAGCTGCAGAGGGTCAGAGCAATGGGTTCTAGGGAGAGGCCTGACCCGGGGTCCTGCCCCCCAACAAGCAGCCTCCGAGTCTGCTGAGGTGGAGGACACAGAGCGGGGAGCCGACGAGGTCTGTGCCAGTGAGGGGCCGGAGGAGCTGGAGGTCACTGTCCACCCCGCTAGGCCGTCTGTCCGTCGACAATTCCAGAGCCCTCCCGCTTGCGGGTGGCAGCCACCCTCCACCCTCTTGTGTGGCCACCCAGAGCTCATGGAGGGGACCAGGCCCTTAGCCATCTACTTCCTCCCTCAGCCTGGTGGCCTCAGCCGGGCCCAGCCCCCACCAGCCCCCACCCCACACCTATTCTTAGCCCCTGGGAAAGCCGGCTCACCAGGCAACCTGCCCTGCTTGGGGTGCCGAGCAGGAGGGTGGGGTGCCCAGGCCTTCCATCACTCCTCCCCAGGCCAGGGGTCCGGTGTGGGGGCACATGCTCAGTGGTCTCTGCCACACCCGTGCCCCCTTACCCAAGACCAGCATGCCCATGCGACCCATGGCCCTCATCCAAGCTCAGGCTGGGCGTCAGGGTCCCCTGGGCACCACAGGCTGGCTGGCAGCACATTCCTTTGAGATCAGCGCTGCCGGTGACGGGGCCAGGGGACACCCTGCTTCTCTGGGCCTGGAAGCACAGACCCTCTCCCACAGGAGAGGCGGGGAGCTCCCTGGGTCTGCAGGGCTGGGTGGGCCTCACTGCAAGCCGGAAGGCCGTGACGGGCCTCTCCTGGGCACTCCAGGAAGGAGTGAGGAGTGTCCAGCGGGATGGACAGACAGATGGCTGATTGGAAGTCAGAGTGAGGAAGAACAGGGGAGTAGGGATGGAGAGGGGTGCGGCTGTGGCCAAGGTAGGGGTTCTAGGTGGGCCTGGGCACCCGGCTGAGGGGGGCAGCCTGGATTTTAACCCTCTGCAGTAAGTCCAGTCCAGTGCTGGGCCAGCTCGGCCACAGGGCTGCCCTGCCCTTCAGCCATCCTGCAGCACAGCGTTGGCTCACAGCCTGCTGGGGGCTCCTGACCCCAGCTGCAGCCTTCGATCACACAGGGCCTGGAGGGACGGACCCAGGAGTGGCAGGTCCCCAGTCCCTGACCCCTGGGGAGCCATCCAGGCTCGGGATTAAATGAAAGATCCCCAGAGTAAAGGGCTCTTTTTTTTTTTAGTTGTCAATGGACCTTTATTTTGTTTATCTATGTGTGGTGCTGAGACTCGAACCCAGTGCCTCACACATGCCAGGCCAGTGCTCTGCCACGGAGCCCCAGCCCCAGCCCCACTTTTGTTCCCCTCCCCGCAGGGCTGGGGACCGAACTCGGGGCCTTGTGGGCTAGGCAAGCACTCTGCCACTGAGCTAAATCCCCAACCACCCCTCTTTTTTTAAATTAATTTATTTATAGTTGGTTCCGGGGTTTGAACTTAGGGGCCCTCAACCTCTGAGTCACATCCCCAGCCCTTTTTTTTTGTATTTTATTTAGAGAGAGGGTCTTGCTGAGGTGCTTAGAGGCTAAGTTGCTGAGGCTGGCTTTGAACTCATGATCCTCCTGCCTCAGCCTCCCAAGCTGCTGGGATTACAGGTGTGGCCGTGGCGCCCTGCAAGTGAAGGGCTCTTGCTGGGAAGAGGGCAGCCGGCAGGTAGGTGGAGGAGGAGGGGGAGTTTGGGTATCCCCTGCTCTGGGGTCGCCAAGGGGACGTCTCCTCTTCTGGTTCTGATCAAACAACCCCATCTGCTATTGCTGCCCAGTCTACTGAGCTGGGCGGGGTCAGTCCAGCCAAGAGCAGGCCTCCCATCTGAAGACTCCTGACCACTGTGTCTGGGCTCCAACTGAGGCCCTGGAGGAAGAGAGCTGATGGGTGGGCATGTTGGTGGGGCAGAGGGAAAGGACAGGGATGGCCAGGGTGGATGGACAGTGGAGAGACAGGCAGGGGGCATAGGAGGATGTGGCCTGGGCACTGAGGGAGGGTGGCCCACCCCAGTGAAGAAGGACAGCCAAGGAGGAGACCCCAAGACCCCCAGAACCCAAATTCACCCCCAATCCCTGTTGGGAAATGGGAGCATGCGACACCCTTCTTGCTGACCTCCCAGGGCTATGAGGACCTGAGAAGCTGACTGTGGGAAAGAGTGTGGCTGGCCCACTCCAGGGGCTGCTCAAGCCACCAGGAGCCCCAGAGTAAAGGAGGGTTCAGAGGCAGAGTCGAGGGGACATGGCTGTGCTGGCCCTCGGAGGCCCTTGCCTCTCTCCACGGCAGCTTGCCCAGGAGGAGCATGCTCCATGCCCCCAGACCACCCCACAGAAGGTCAAGCAGGTGGGGCTGGAGACCCTTGAGGACATCCCTCTACACAAGCTCAGTGTCCCAGGCCACAGGCCAGGCGGGCTCAAGGACTCCCCGGCCCCAGGTCCCTGGGCATCAGAGCCCCAGACCCCTCCTCAAAATATCAGAGGCCCAGGCAATCCTCCTCTGGACCCCTGATAGGAATGTGGGAGAGGACAAAAGTGGTCAGTCCTCCACCGCGGGGTGGTGAGGACGTGGGGGCGACAGCTCTGGGAAGGGGTGACGGGTGTGGCTGATGTCCAGCCGTGTGAGGCTGAGGTCTCCAGGGAAGAGGACAGGCAGGTGGGGCTCGGGCCCAAGGGCAAATCATCACGCTGCCCAAGTTAGGGTCCCCGAGGCTGGACAACCTCCAGAGGGCAGAGGGCTGTCCCCTACAGGGAAGCTCTGATGGACCTGAACAGCCTGTCCAGGCCCCCACTGTGGGGCAACACGGGTGCCCAGAGACAGCTCTTCAGGCCGTGATGGATATCTGTCAAATGAGTGAGTGAGCAGGAACCTGGCAGGACCAGCCAGGGATATGGAGGTGCCGCTCGGGACTCACATTGGCCGGCCTGGCCCTTTTTCCACCTTATTCCCTCCTTGGCTCGGAGCAGGGTGCAAGGGTGACAGAGGACAGGTCCGACGGCACCCACCCTTCTTCCTTCTTGCCTGTCGCCGGCCCCAGACTTCAAGGGGCAGAGGGTTGGGTCTGATGGCTGGCACACCCGAAGCTGCCAGCAGGCTCCTCCCCTCGTGACCTCCTCCGCAGCAAACACATCTGGCCACACAAGCCACCTGGGTCTGACCTGGCTGGTCCACTACTTGTGGGCTGGCACACCCCCCATGCCAGTTCCAGCAAGACACATGACTCAGGTGTTCCTGGCAAGGCCAATGTCACACCAGTTTCCACTGGGGGGGGGGGCAAGGGACCCCAGATCCAGTGGATGGCCCACTAACCAAGGAAGGCAGGGAGTGCCCTTGGTGCCCCCGGATCCGAAGGGGTAGGGAGGGTGTCTCTCAGGCACCCTCCAAGCCCCAAGGAGGTGGGAGGTGGGAGGTTTCTGTGAAACCCAAGTGGCTGGAAGGTCACGGCCTGGGGGCGGGATCAGCTTACTGCTGTTGACAACAGGGCAAGCCTGGGATGCAGGCCAGAGTGTGTTGAGATCCACCCCCAGCCCCCAGGTCCCCAACACAGAAGGACAGCAAAACAACCCTGGCTGGTCCTCAGAGGATGCCTGGCGCCAAGAGGACAGGGGTCAGTCTGTTCTGAGTGGGGCATAAATCCCCCTGACCCAGAAGAGGGACGGGGACTCCAGAGAGGCTGGAGCAGGGCAGTGACCTGCACTGGCTGCGGGTCAAAGTCACAAGTGGAAGGACAGCTGGGCCAGGTTCCAGTGCCCCTCACCCACCCTGGGAAACCCGGGTATTACTGGGGAGTCCTGGGGAGCAGGGACAGGACACAGTGGGAAGCCGGAGCTGCCTAGGACCCTGTGCCTCGCCTCGGTGCTGCGAGGGCGCGCGTGGGGGGAAGAATGAGGGTCTGGAGGGAGGGGCAAGTCCCAGGGCCCGCAGCCATCCGCACCCAGGTCCCCGAGGCCGCGGTCCCAGGGACAAGAGTGCAAGAGCAAATATTGAGACCCCTGAACCGACGGTGCTGGACCAGGTGACCGTCCAAGAGCTGAGGGCGCATCCCCGGGGCTGGGAAAGGAGGTGTCCGACGTGGGCAAGGACCCGGAGCCCAGCTCTGAGCCTTGGCGGCGCCCGCCCACTCCCGTGCCCCGGCGGGGTCGGCCCGGGCCGTGCCCTCGGGCCTCCCAGTGCTCACCGCGCGGTGCCGCTAGGCTCCCTCGGTCCTCCGCGCGCTCGGGTCTGGCGCCTGCCGCTGCGCGCTCGGGGTCCGCGCCGGCTCAGCCCCGCGCCCGGCGCCTGCTGCGCTCGAACTTCCCGGCGGTGACACTGGGCGGCGGAGGGGGAGGGGGCGGGGGCGGGAGCGGCCGCCGGGTGGGGGCAGCCGAGGGTCCCCGCCCGCGCACCGGCGCTGCTGACCGGCGGCCGGGAGGCGCGGCGAGCGCAGACTCCAGGCCCCCGGAGCGCGCTCCTAAGACCCTGCTCACAACCCCGAGGGCCTCTCCGCCGCTGACTCCCCGCTTGAGACCCACGTCGCTGGACCCTGATAGCAGGCCCTCCGCACAGGCCCTGATCTGGACTGCGACCCCGCGGACCCTTGCCCTGCAAACCTTAATCCCCCGCATCCAGTCCTGTAGGTCCTCGACCCCATGGACCCTGCTTGGTGGATCTGGGCGCTGTGGTGTGGACTCTCCCTGCTGATCCCCGCCCCGCTGACATGGCCTGCAGGTCTGAGCTCCCTGCAGGGACACGTGTGCCAGCGAGGAGGGGGGCGCACTGGCGGGTGTCTGACTCAGGCCCCTTCCTCTTGCTTCATCTGTGTTTCCTGTGGTCTCCCCGCTGTGTCTGGGTGGCCTTCCTGACTCTCTGGAGGGAGTGACCCTTTACTTATCCCGACCGGGCTCCTGGGCGACATTATCTGTCTCCAATCCTTCTTTGCAGGTGGGGGGCTACTGGGGCGCTGGAATGTGAGCTACCCAGGAGGTCTCTGGCCAAGTGAT